TTTTTTTTTTTTTTTTTTGAACTTCAAATCCCTGTTCATCTACTTCTTGAATTTCTAAATTTCCTCTTGGTTTCTGACTCCCTTAACCCAAAAACCCCTGCTTCATTTTGTTCATCCGACTCTTGCCTAGTTTAGTGATTTATACCACTGGTGCCTATATTTTGATTCTGTAATTCAGCTGTATTCCATAATGCCAGTTTCCCCAGGGGCCTCAGTTTTTGCCTTTTTCTCCTGCCTTGCACCTTCCAGGCTAGAGTTTCATCTTCTGCATTGGCGTCTTTGCATTTATGTGTTGAGCAGGGAGTTGGGAGGGAGAAAAGAGGGCAGAGGCTGTAGAGGTATGAAGAGAAGATAGAGCTGCCTTGGGTTGGTGGAAGGGTCAGAGGCTCAGGTTTCTGGGTCAGAGGCCCACATGGTGGGTGGAGTGAGGCTCAAAGGTGGGTGCTGAGTAGCCAGCAGCCCCTGGGGATGGGCAGGGCACCCAAGAAAGCTGTAAGACAAGTGGTTGCATTCATCCGGGGCCATGTTTCAGATGAAGAGCTGGAAGACAACCCCAACCAGAGTGACCTGATTGAGCAGGCAGCTGAGATGCTTTATGGATTGATCCACGCCCGCTATATCCTCACCAACCGTGGCATCGCCCAGATGGTGAGGCCTCTCTGCTTCCGTTTGACTCTTCCTGAGGCAGTCAAGGAAACAGGTTCCTGCAGCAAGAAGTCACATGTTCCAACCCTGTCAAGTCTTAACACAGAAGGGGAGAGCCTAAGAACCTGGGCCTGGGAATTCAGTCCTGATTGGGGATTGTGCCGAAGGGGGTGTTTTCAGGAAGGGAGGTATGACCTTGACCAGGAAGTTGTTAGAGACTCTATCTTCCTCAGGGAATAAACAGTGAATGGCTCTGATGGTCTTCAGCCTCCCTCACTGGAGGAAAGGAAGCAGAGGAGTCTGAAGGCCAGTCTGGGCCAGAGAGAGACTGGAGGGATGGGGGATAGAGTAGTATGGGGGCAGAGGAAGGGATTGTCTCTTCACGTCTACCCTCCAATGCTTTCATTTTATTCACCTCAGTTGGAAAAATACCAGCAGGGAGACTTTGGCTACTGTCCACGTGTGTACTGTGAGAACCAGCCAATGCTTCCCATCGGTGAGTGTTAGAGAAAGAAGGAGGACATCATATGGCAGGTCCTCTGGGAAGGGGCTCAGCAAGTTGGGGCCCGTGTTTGGGAATGAGTTTGGGCAGGGTTAGGGGAGCCAGGCATGCTGAGTCTGGCTGTCTCCCAGGCCTTTCGGACATCCCAGGTGAGGCCATGGTGAAGCTCTACTGCCCCAAGTGCATGGACGTGTATACGCCCAAGTCATCGAGGCACCACCACACGGACGGCGCCTACTTCGGCACTGGTTTCCCTCACATGCTCTTCATGGTGCACCCAGAGTACCGGCCTAAGCGGCCCGCCAACCAATTTGTACCCAGGTGGGGATCAGGGACAGTCACCAGGGGTCAAAGGAAAGGCCCGGGACCCCTAGAGAGAAGGGAGGGCTGGGCATGGTCATTTTTTCAGGTCTGGTTTATCTTCCTAGAGCATCATCTTTACTGTGGGGGCGGAGTTAAGCTTTATATTGAAGCAAGTAGTGATACAGACATCTATATACAGACATAGCCTAGAATTTGAGTTTTAATGGATATTTAAGATACATTCCCAAATATTCTTGAGGGGAGGAGGTTGAGAACCACTTCCCTTAAGCACTGAGCAGGCCCATGGAGGAGCTGGGGTGGGGAGGTAGGAATGTAGGCTGCTGGCAGAGCTGCTTTGGGCTCACCTGCTGCCTCTCTGATCTCTGTCCTGGCCCAGGCTCTATGGTTTCAAGATCCATCCGATGGCCTACCAGCTGCAGCTCCAAGCCGCCAGCAACTTCAAGAGCCCAGTCAAGACGATTCGCTGATTTCCCCACCCCAGCCCTCAGTCTTTGACACCTCCATTCCTTTGCTGCCACCTTGTCAGCAACCCTCTATGGTTTTTAGTTTAAATTAAAGGAGTCGTTATTGTGGTGGGAATATGAAATAAAGTGGAAGAAAAGGCCATGAGCTGGTCTGCTGGTGCTTGGGGTTAGGGAAGGGAGGGTATAGTGTGCTGGACTCCAGGGGCCCTCATGGCTTAGCCCACCCTCCTCAAGTTGAAAACCAGCACAGATTTGTGCCCAGCAGAATTCCTAGGACTGGGTATGGGAGTGTGCCAAGTCCCAAGGAAAAGACCCAGAAAAAAGTCAGATTCCAAAGACTAAAGAAATGTATGTTGGGGGGACATCTATGGCTGTTAATACTGTAAGGGACTATCAGTTTTGGCTTTACAGGGAAAGTGGTTCAAAAATAACTAAGAGTTGGAGAGAAGAGGGACAAGGCCCAGAATTGCTACTGGGTGGTACCTGTGTGCCACCTGCTGGGGAAGCTGAGACATGCTCGTCTCAAAAGGATTGGGACGCTGAGTTCCTGGCCAGAGTTTCAGCATAATAGGGACTTCCTATTTTGAGGGAGGAGAGCATATGGTGCCAGAGACAGAAATTAATTTATGGACTCTCGAGGGGCGGGAATAGATCTTTGGGAAGCACGCTGCATAAAAGCCCAGGTACTGACTGCCCCTGTCTTGGCCACTGCTCCCACCTTCAGGAACTAGACACTGTGGGTGAGAACACACTGTTCCTCCTGCTAAGTTAATAACTTCCTTGCCCAGCCCAGATTCTCCCCCAGACAGGAATATAGCTCTCTACTGATTGCAGACTGTCTGTCAAAACCAGCCTGCAGCTCAGGATTGAGGAGCATGGTCATGGGAAGGAAAGGTTGCCAGGCACCCCTCAGGGACTGTCCCTCTCCCCAGAATTCCATAATGAAGGCTCATGTGCTTGTAGGTGTGCTGGTCGTGGTGGGCTTCACAGTGGGAAAAGGTGAGTGGGGCCCAGGGGCAGGAAAGAAGGGGTGACTGAATCCAGGAAGGGGGTGGGGCTGTGACCCTAGATGCACAGGCTCCCTCAAGGGCAGGGACCTTGGAGTGAGCTGGTGCTCCCATCCCCTCTGTCTTCTTTCTCAGCTCCTGTTCATGACATCCGGACCTGCCACCTCTGCCTCTTAGAAGACCCTTCTGTAGGATGCATTTCAGGCTCGGAGAAGTGCACTATCAGTAGCTCATCCCCATGCATGGTGATCACCATCTATTATGGCGAGTTCAAGACCCACAAAGGGGCTGCTGGTGGAACATCCCATTGCTTGATCTCCTCTCTTCTCATAGATGAGGGCTGCTTGGGGCCTGGGGCACAAGAAGGAGATAGGTAGATCCTGGAAGGCTCAGTCAGGAGTTTGGGGGAGGTCAGCTAAGCTAATTTTCTGACCCCTTCTGAAGGAGTCTGGGATGGAAGTTGGGTCTGGTGAGGGATAGGGAGAGTTCGTGGTAGGGGTGCCAAGTTTGGGGACTACGGGAGGCAACAGGTTATTAGCTGTCCTCTCCTCTAGATCTCAAGATCCGCTTCTTCATCCGAGGCTGTGGACAGTACCATTCTTACCGCTGCCAAGAACAACATAGTACCTACTTCTCAGAGTACTGGTACCACGCTGAATGCTGCCAGTACGATTACTGCAACTCCTGGTCCAGCCCTCAGCTCCAGAGCTCCCAGCCTGAGCCCCCTGACAGGGCCCTGGGCCTGCCCCTGTTCAAGTCCCAGATCCAGCGGTTCTACCAGGCCCTGAACCTTTCATTGCCCCTCCCCAGCTCCCATACTGGGGAGGAGGCTGAAGGCCTGGACCCCCTGGCTGCCCTGCCCTTGAACCTGGGCTTATCCATTGCCGACCTGCGCCGCATATACTTATTCCTCAACAATTCGGGACTTTTGGTTCTTCCCCGGGCTGGGTCCTGACCCCTTACCCTTCTCAGGTTGCAGCCTGTTTCTCCTCAGAAACCCAATGCACCGAGTGCACTTCTTCCTCCTAGAAAATAATCTCAAGTGTACATCCTGTCCGAACTGACCTGGGAAAGGCAATGGTTCCCTCATCCCTTTTCTGACTGAGTGCTCCACCCCCATCTTCCCGGTCCCCTGTGGTCTGGTCATCTGCCACCTCTATTTAGTTCTGGCTGTATCTCCCATCCTGTGCCTCCCTAAGCCTCAGGACAGGCTGGATTTGCAGCAAGGAGGATGAGGGGTAGACTTCTGTGCAGATTTCCTCACTTGGCATCCTGGTGTCCCTGTCTCACTGCCTCCACCCCCACCCCCACTCCTGGCCTGGTCTCCCGCTGCCTTTTCTCATCTCTTGCTCCAGTCTCAGGCCTCCTAACACCACTCATGTCACTGGGTCCTGAGGAGAGGGGGTCTGCCCTGCTCTGGGTGCCCAGGAAGGGGAGAGGGTCTGTCCTGCTCTGCTCTATGTCCCCTGATTTCCCGCTACAATAAACGGATGGGGTTAAGTCTGTGTCATGTTGTTTGTGTGGGCAGGATCAAGTGTGGGCAGGTGTAGACAGGTTAAGAAAAGTTAATTGGGCTAGGGGTTCAAATGGTTGCAGGGCCCTGCCCACTCCATCTGGCCTTTGTCACTTCATCATGGCCTGCCCCACAGGGCGCACATCACCCCACCCGCTGCTGAGCTAGAGATGAAAGCATGAGGATTATGATGCCTCCCAGCCATAAGCATGCCCTACAAAACCTAGGAACTAAACCCAGGTGAGAGGAGGAAAAACGAAACCAGGAAAACTCAGGAACAAACCAGAGGGCCTACGTCTGCATTTCAGTCAACTGGTGCTAAGGGACCTAAGTTTCCTGTCTTTTTTTTTTTTAATTTTTTTTTTTCTTTTTCGGAGAAAGGAGAGGGAGAGAATGATAGAAACACTGATGGTTCAGCTGCCTGTCCATTCTTTTTAGGTTCCTGGTACCCAGGACCCCATAGGTGGGGGCCTTTAATTTTATATTTCATTTTTGAAAACAAGTGTTCTCAAAGCAATAATTAAGAGTCATGCCTGGCTGGGCGTGGCTCAGTGGTTGAGCATTGACCTAGGACCCAGGAGATCAAGGTCAATTCCCGCTGGGCGCACGCACGAGGCAGTCCGTCAATGACAACTCTCTCATCATTGATGTTTCTCCCTCTCCCTTCCTCTCTCAAATCAATAAGGATATTAATAAGTAATAAATGGCATCATGCAGCATATACTCTTTATGTGCACATTTGGCACATGTTAACACCGCATGACCCCTTTAATGGCCTGTGCTCTGGTGGGAAACCAAGACTCATTTTTAGGTCAGAAAGCAATTGGAAGAACAAAGAGGTATGACCCTGCGTGTCCCCCTCTTTCTGGGCCCACTCTTCCCCATGACCTCTGATTTCAGTGTAAGACAGGCCGCACTGGAAGATAGCCTCAGAGGCTGAGGAACTCAAGGGCCAAAATTGAAGAGGGACTTACCATGGTCCTTGAGGAGGGAAGCTGGCCTGGGATCAGGAAGCCCAGGGCTCCACAGGCCCAGCATCTCTTCCACAGAGTATCCCTTCTCCCTGGGCCTGGGCCTGGGCCTTTCACAGGCCCACTCCCACCGACACCTTCCCCCCGGACCTCCCCTGCAGTTCCCACACAGCTCTGGGTCTGAGAGCATTAACAAGGGTGCCCACTGCCCTTTTGGCCTTCACTGTATCCCCTTCCAATTCCTCTTCACCTTTTTGTGCTTAGAGCTGAATCGGACACCAAGATGGCCAGAGCAGAGCTCAGCAGAACTGGGAGCCCCTTACCTGACAACGGGGCAGGCAGACATGACCTACCTCCACCAGGAGAGACAGACAAACCATACAGTTTGCACACCAATTTATTCTGGAGGAACACCTTGCAAGAGAGGCCTGTGGTGGGAGAAAGGGAGAAGGCCAGAGCAGAGCAGAGGCAGCCCAGAGGTGGGAGAAGAGAGGAGGGAAGATGCCAGACTGACGACTTAAAGGGAACAATCCAGAGATGTCTGGGGAGGGGCAGAGTGGGAATAGGGGTGTTGAGGGGTGTCAAACAAGAGGCAGCTAGAGCTGGGTCAGTAACCTGAGGGCTGGTGGAAGGGACTGGAAGTTGTCCTAGCTGCGCCCAGTTGGGGATCAGGGGCTGGCTGGAAACTGGCAGCATTTTACTCCAAAAGCCTCTGCAGTTCTATGAAATGAAGGATGTTCTCTTCTGTGGTTTGTTGCAGAAATTCCGGAAACAGCATCGAGAGAACACCCAGAAGCCAAACACTGGAGAAGTACGGGTATGTGTGCAGTCACTCATCTGCTCCTTGTGGCGACAGTCACTTACCATGATGTCAGAGCCACTACCTGCAAACCATACAGAGGTCACAGCAGAGCCCCAACCCCCCCTTCCCTTCACTCCATATGGACTTACCACTGCCCCACACCCTTCCCCTCACCCCAGAACGCAAAGGCTCCTGGAACAGGGCTGGGAGTGCCAAGGAGTCAGCAGCCGGGAACTCAGACAGAAGATCCCTATGGAAAGTTGGTGGAAAGAGAGAGTGATAGTTGGAGGATGCTGCGTTAAGGCTTGTGGAACGCAGGAGGGAGAGCCCACACTTTGGGCAGCACCATGTGAGAACAAGCTGGGCGATGTATTGGGGGTCGGGCTGCAGAGAGGAGGTGTTCGTGTATTTTATGAGTAGAAGGTAAGAGAAGAGGTGTCTGCTGCTATTATATACAGGGTGGGCAAAAGTAGATTGTGAGTACACAAAACAGTTTATTCTTGTATTATTTGTTTGTTAATTATTGTATTATTTATTATTATTATTAACCTACTTTGCCCACCCCTGTATATTGGAGGGTGAAAAACCTTCGTGGCCAGGCCCAGGGAGGTTCGCCGCTGCCCTGCTTCAGAGAGTAAGAGCAGAAGTGACCTGCGGCCGTCGGCAGCAGGATGACAGGTGGGCTCTGACGCTTGCGCAGGGAGTACTGTGCAGCGCATCCGTGGAGCAAGGAAGCTGTTCACAAACGGATATGGAAACGTTAGGTTCCCGTAACTGTTAAGTTTAAACAGCGAGTGCAGAGCAGTGTTCACAGGGGCCTGCTGCTGTCTGTGGGGAAAGAGGGAAAGTGTAGAGTGGAATGTCCAGTACAGACCACAGAAAGGGGCAAGGCTTTCAGAAGAGTGAATTTTGTTTTCATGCATGGGAGCTGGGTGGACTGGGCAGGAGTGGGAGGGAGACTTTTCTCTGACCCCCTTGAATACTGCAGTATTGAACCATGTCTGTGCAGTTATTTGAAAAGTGTACTTGAAACGATCTGAATAAAGGCAGCTCCGTGCTGTGGTAGTTGAGGGCCATCTCTGCAGCCACCACAAGTTGTGGCTCAGCCCCTAGGAGACTTGGACAGGTATCGGCCTTTTTGTGCCTCTGTTTCTTCGTCTGTAAAACACTTCAGAGGGCTGTAAGTGCTTAGAACAGTGCCTGGCACATAGGGTGTTTTAGTGGTTTTTAACTTTTAAGAACGTCAAGGGCTGGGAGAAGAGCAAGCATGAAGAACAATGGGACAGAGTCCATTTTTGGCAAGTTGAAAGTGAGGGGAGGGGTCCAGAGGGCAGTTTGACCTGGTGGTGTGGCCAGACACTCAGATTCAGCAGGAAGCAGTACATGGTGCTGGCAGGAGCCAAGGAGGCAGATCAGTGCCCCTGGGAGAGTGACTGGGAAGATAGCTAAGGCCTGCATTTCGGTGAACATGAACCACCAAGGGTCGAGGAGAAAGAGGCAAGACTCGATAAAGGAGACAGGGAGAGGTAGTGGAAGGGGTAAGAGAAGAGAGGCGCTGGCAGGAACTACCGCTGAGAGGGGAGAAGGCAGCCTGAGGAAAGGCCAGAGGAGCTAGGGATCTCCAGGGTCCCTGCAAGGCTGGCGCCTGCGAAGGGCGGAAGCCAGGCAGCTGTGGGCTGAGAGCCAGGCAGGGGTGCTGGAGACGGAATGGCTCGGAAGGAAAGGGAGGCAGTGATGGGACAGCATCTGAGAGTTTGGGCTTAGGAAATGTAGAGATTCAGTTCTTGGCCCAAGACAGACAGAAGGCACCTTACTGTTCTTAATGAAGAGAGTTATACAGCTGCTGCCAGCAGAGGTCAGGCAGATGTCAGATCCCAAAAGGCACCCCAGTTCCTTGGTCTCCAACAGGCACCGATAGCAGCGCAGGTATTGGGGGAACTCAATTGGATAAAAGGGCTCTTCACGGACAGGATCAAGTTTACCTAGAACACAGACAAGCACTGACCCCACACCTCCGCCTGCCTATTTTCCAGGTCAGCCCCATTGCCCCCTCCCCCATCTCAGAAAACCATAAAATCACTAATTCTTTGAAACTATCTGGCTTAACCTTCCACCAGAAGCTTTAGTACTCATTAAAAACTTCCATTCTCGCCCGGCCGGGCGTGGCTCAGTGGTTGAGTGTCGACCTAGGATCCAGCCGATCGGGGTTCGATTCCCGGTCGGGGCCCCGGTTGTGGGCTCAATCAGTGACTCTCCCATCATTGGTGTTTCTATCTCTCTCTCTCCCTCTCCTTTCCTCTCTCTGGAATCAATAAAGATATATTTTAAAAAAACAAACAAAAAAAACTTCCATTCTCTGCTCTCATACTTCCTGAAATGAGGAATTCATTCATTCATTCATTCACTCACTCACTCACTCACTCACTCACTCACTCACTCAACATGCTTCTGAGGGACTAGTATATGCCTAGCGTTATGCAAGCCTGTAAATCCAAAGGTTAGGTGAAGGCAGCCCATTCAGCTTTGGGCAGACAGTTCATCCTCTGGGACTTGGTTTCATAGTCCCCACAGCCTCCACTCCTGGATTCTCTTTTAAATATGCTTTCTTAATCTGTAATGTGCAGAAGTAAAACCAAGCCCTGGCCAGTGTGGCTCAGTTGGTTGAGTGTCATCCCAGGCACAAAAAGGTCGCTGGTTTGGTTCCCGGTTTTGGGCTCCATTGCCCCAGTTTGGCACATGCAGGAGGCAGCCAATCCATGTTTCTCTCTCTCTCAAATCAATAAAAACGTATTCTTTTAAAAACAGAAGTAAAAACAAGATGCATCATCACAGGACAGGAAGAATCTCTGCTTCAAGCAGCCCAGGGCCACATTCTTTGTTTGGTGGTCCTGTCACAGGACAGACTCATATTAAACTTTGTCCACCAAAGCCCTCCCAACTACCTGCATATATAGTTGTCCCTTGTTATCCACAGGGGATTGGTTCCAAATTGATATGAAAATCTGAGTGTTCAGTCCCTTATGTAAAATGATGTACTGTTTGCATATAACCTACACACGTCCTCACAAATACTTTAAGCCATCTCTAGATTATTTGTCATACCTAATGCACTATAAATGCTGTATATGTAGTGGTTACACTGTATTGTTTAGGGAATGATGGACACAGGAAAAGCCTGCACATGTTCAGTACAGACACAGCTGTCACAGGCCTAACTACATGGTGCACATCAGCAACAAGATCACTTAAAAAAAATTTTCCCCATCCTCAGTTGAATCCAGGGATGTGCAACCTACGTGTATGGAGGGCTGACTGTACATCTCCCTCTTCCTCTGGTCCCTGGCCAAGACCACAGGTTAACGAGTCCCCAGACCCAGCAGAGTATTTGTTGTGAGGCAGGTGCTGAACAAACATTTTGAATCCTGCTTCTATGAGATGGTGCTTTGCAGCCAAGTGAGGAGGCTATCAGGCTGCATCCAGCCTCGTTCTACCCTATGGATCCTTGTGCTATCGTCTTAGAATGTTCCCCAAACCCTCCCTATTCTGTGCTGCCCTCAGATTTGAATGGGTTCCCTTCAGAATCTCCATTCAGGTCATTGCTGTTGAGTGAGACAACCCTGGGGCGTCACTAGACATCTCCCTCCGAGTGAACAGCAGGCCATTTTCAGTACCCAGGCATTATCCCACCAAGCCCGCTCATCCCATCTTTCCTCCTGCCCGGGCAGATATACCCAGACACCTGGTGTCCATGGGTTTCTCTATCCAGCAGTCCAGGAGACCCTTCTGATCCCTTTGAGCCACTTACCAAACACCAAGCTCATCATGACCAGCACTATTAAGAGGACCATGTACAGAGCTTGAGGGGTGCTGTGGAGGCCCAGGGACCCCAGACTCCGGCTATGTGCAAGGCCTGCCATAAAATGCATCACTGCCCACCAGCCTCCAGTATGGGCTTATATTAGTGGAAGAGAAGTTGGCCAAGAGGAAGGAGAGGGGCAACACCCATTTGGGGTAGAAATTGCTGCCAAAACAGCCAGAGGGACAGAATGTTCTCACCCACGGCCACTCTGGCACTCTGGAACCTAACATCCTGGCTTGGAGACAGGGGCCCAGCAACAGGGGAATGAGAAGGGAACATTCTTTCATATTTATTCAACAACATTTGAATCACTGCATCAGGTGTTGGGGACACAACATTGCACAAAGTCCCTGCTGCCAACCTAAAGATAAGCCTTCCAAAGTAAGATACAAGCGTTTCTTTGAGATCAGTAAGAATAGTTATTCTGAAAGCACTGATTCAGGCAGAAACCCCAATAGTGTTCCACTTAAGAGACAAAGGCGATGGTATTTATGAGAAAGGCAAGGGGAACACTTACATCCATAGAAAGAGAGCATTTCTATTGATGCAGGAAACAGTGATATTAATTCTGAACAATGTTTTTTAATTTTCAGTCTAGTAGTCATAGTAACTGCTTTCTTGTTATCTTTGCAAACATTTCTTTGGGAAACAAGGTTGCTTAGGTGCAGTGCAAAGGTTATTTTGCCCCGTTTTAACATCCAAACGTTTGAGGCCTAAGATGTGCAGTTTCTCTGGCATGGCAGCTCCAGGGCATTTTCAAGGGACTCCGCTGATATTGTTCACACTGTCTTCGCAGAGTACACAGTCTTAACGGGGGACACAAATCAACAAGCAATGATGGGGGCGCAGACTGCGCCCCTGGAGCACCTGGGCAGTGGAAACCTCTGACAAAGGGGTTTCGGCAGAGGAATAGGTCAGATTTCTGTCGACAGGATTACTGAGGAGGGAGCCGGCTGGGCAGCTAGGCCAGAGCCCAGGCACTAGGTGGCGGCCCGGCCTCGCAGGAGAGAGCGGGGAGCCGCGAGCCGGCGCCGCGGCCTGCGGGAGGCGGACGCGACAGATTCGGAGCTGGCTGGGTGTAGGGTGAGGGAAGGGGGACAGGCTTGCGCTGCGGTGACTGGCGGTACCACCTTCCAAGGTGAGAGAGAC